CCCAAACGTTATTTGATATGTTTATGTTACATGTAAAGCTTTATTCAACCTTTATGGGATAAGAGTGGAATAATGTATACCTATGTATGTAAAAATAACCTTTTGTTCAGTCGAGATTGTAAAGAGTACTTGTAAAGGTAGTAGAGCTACTCCTTCGTTTGCGTTGAATACGATCGTATAACGGTGGTTTGCATACTCGACTTTTTTTATTATAGTCTTTTGTTTTTTACTTGTCACATGTAGTAATATTCAAGTTGGTATAATTGATTTTCAGTTTTCAATTTCCATAAACATTTACAGAATTATGCACTTTTGACACTAAACTGACAGTTACACATTGCTGACTAAGAAGTCAGCAATGTGTAACAGTTCTGAAATAATTTACTTCTAAACTGAAACACGTCAATTTAATAACACACTCTAAAGATATAGAACAGTTACATATACATAAAATACATGAGATGATAGTTGTTAAGCAAAAAAAATATGTTATGCGACAGTATAATTATTAAAGCATGATTATTGGGAACTTTTAATGCCTTTTAAACGTACACTACAAAGGTTTTAATAGTATATTACAAAGCTATTATTCTCTGAACTTTTGGGTGTGTGTCATTTTGTATTAAGTATTTTTAATTATTAAGTAGATTTTATTTAACGTTATTTAAATTTAGCGAATGAGCCGTTATAAACTAAACCACTAGCAAAAACTACCAACCATTGAAAACCAATATTCTCGTTTAAAATGGGAAGCTACGAGTTTTAGTAGATCTAATAGATTCAAATGGCTGACTGTAAAATACAGACAACTTTCGGCTGTGTCTATACAGACACATATAGACACAGCCGAAAGTTTCAAGTTAGGTTACATGCAAACGTTCATTTTATACATGATTAAAAAAACATACTTTTTTAAATGGCGTCACACGTTCCCATACCTATTTAATATATGATAAATAAAGCTCTGATACTCTATGTATTTTGTGGTAACTTAGGATGATGTTTCTAATGATACCCTATACATTTATATCCATTATATCTTTCAAAAGTTATGGTGCAATAAAAAAACATACATGCATTAATTCTAAAAACAATAAACTCCTTTTCGAGAGCAGTCGTGCTAAAATATTCGGGAATCGATAATGAATCCCACCATAGAAATACTAAAAAAAATACAAAACTTGGGAAAAGTATCAAAATAGCTTGGTCGTAGTTTCAACACAGTATTGTGGACTCGTGACCTTGCACAAGTTGTCGAGAACTCGGAACGCTTCAAGATAACTTTTTTTTTTTTATGGTATAGGGGGCAGGCGAGCAGACGGATCACCTGATGGTAAGTGATTACCGTCGCCCATGGACACCTGTAACACCAGAGGGGCTACAAGCGCGCTGCCGGCCTTGGAGGGAAGGGTTGAGGGGTAGAGGGAAGGGAAAAGGGAGGGTTTGGGCCTCCGGTACCCTCACTCACACGACGAAATACAACGCAAGCGTTGCTTCACGTCGGTTTTCTGTGAGGCCGTGGTATCACTCCGGTCGAGCCGGCCCATTCATACCGAAGCGTGGCTCTCCCACGGTATTAACCTCCCACCTAATCTCATAGAGTGAAAAAGTGTCATATGGCTCTTTAAGACAAATAGTACTCTCCAGGAACCTCGGGAGTGTCGGTCGTTCTGTTCCACCGAGTATTACAGACGGAAATCATGACACACCGTTGATTTTTACAGGACAAAATTTGTTTTGAGTGTACGAATGTTTTCCTATGTTTTATTTATGTTAATAGAATCTACTTACGAAATAAATTGTCTTTTTATATTTACTATGGTTTCAATGTTTATCTTAATAGCGGTGAACAAACCATAGGTATATTGATATATCATTGGGATAACATTTTAAACTATTAGCTATGTTATCTTCTTTCTATTTAATATTATTAAGTCGAATTTCAACTACTAGACAACCTCTAATTATACTTTATTGTATTATAAAGTATAATTAGAGATAAAGTTTATTATACTATATTAGGTAGAATTCCCATATACATCAAAATGTTCGTTTGGACAGTTTAAATTTAATTCATAAACCCTGGACAAATATAGTATCACCAGTAGCGAAAGTATCAAGCACTTGAGAAATTCAATAGTCTAAAGTCCTCGGCAGGTCAATTGGTACCTAAGTCTTCCTTTTGGCGAAATGTTGAATAAATGACGCCCTTAAATCTGTATCGGGCAAATAAAACAGTTATATTTCAAATATTTATTTTTGTAAAATTAATTAACATTGTGATTGGTAGCTTTATTCTGTTTATACAGACTAGCTGTTGACTAGCGCGAGTTCGCCGGCATAAATTATAACATATATTACTCGCGTATGATGAAGCTTCCCGTAGGTGAAACTATTTTCATGTTCGGATTAGTATTGTTAAAAATTAATACCCCAAAAAACAAATAAATAAAGTTATATAGAAACTTTAAATCTATACCTAATATATCATGTCAATATACTTACTAAAAATAAAACATAATAAGAAAGACACTGCGAAAAACTAAAAACTACGAAATATTAACGCAATAATTATAACAATGTCCTTCTATCTGTCTTCACAAACATTGTATGTCGTAACAATGTTGTCTGCTATTGAAATATTAGGGTGCTTTAGTTACATTGAAGTTAAGGCAGCTACTGATTTTAATATTACTCATTGAAATTGAAGTTCTATAAATAAAAAGGTTGGAATTGCTTTTGTAAGTGACTGTTTACGTATTTGTGTTAAAAATATTTTCAATTTTTTCCAGTGTGTTTTTCGTTAAATCTTCATTTGATGTGATCTATCACTATCCCTCTATACAACGTGTTTGGTAATACCTGTATAATCCCGAATATGGCACATACGGTGTGATGAATAGAACCCAGAAAAATGATCACTAAGACTGAAACCCAGCACATGACCTAGATATTCAGCTTTTTTTCTTCGAAGTAAAACTGTACGCTGACAACCCTAAAAACAGCTGTTGTGTTGTATTTGGTCATCGACTCCATGTGCCGAACTAGTTTAAAAAATAACAGAAGTTAAATAAATCTAAAGATAAATGCCTAGAATAAATATGCATCTGAGAGGAATTTATTATTTCCAAACAAAGAAAAAGTTAGTAGTAAATGACTTTTAACTATAAAAAAACACTAATCTTGTGATTAACGGTGTTTCAAAAACTATTAATATGAAAACTTCTGTAATAATACAGTCAAAATAAAAAAGAAATTGCAAATACTTTGATTGAAGTTCAATATCTGCACCATTGCTCACATTAGTCTATGCAAGAAGGAGCGAGAGAGACATAAAATCGACGACGATGTGTATTGAGAAACTCGGGTTTCTGATGTGTCAGTAAGGTTCTGTAGATTATTTGCTTTGAAGTTTTGTTATTTTTTTCATAAAGCCGTGTTATTTTCACGAAACAATAAAATACGGACTTATACAATGATATTAATAATCTAAGTATCTCTCTTATTCTTAGTTTAAATGATAATTAAATAAAGGTTAGTTGTAATGGAAAGGTCTAATAATAAATAATATTTCTTGACGCGGAACCCCAAAATCGGTACACTTTTGATTTAGGTACATTGGTGTTCGAGTTGCAATAATAATAACCTATGTAGTTTTGGTCATCGCGTCAGTCGCGTCCGTGACTTTCATCGGCGTACTTGTGAGTTTTCAGAATTTAGAAGGTCAACTTACGTTTTCGTTCTTTCGGGACTTTTGGTTTGTTTTTCATTCTCGTTCTGTTTACCTGTGTATTATGTTTGTGTGCGGTCAGTGCAATGAATTCGTACTCAAATGCCTAATATTACGAGATGATAATGTGTGGCGGTGCTTTGACGGTAATCTTGCTGCGGCTCGGCGGCGTTATGACGAGCGCCACGTGTCAGGAAGACCTGAAAACCATCGACGTCTTCCTTCTTACCGGTGATTCGCGGCATTTGTGAATTGGTTACATACAACTGGTTCATTCCATAGTGTGCCACAGGTAGGCCGGCCGATCACCTATTCCATCGAGACAGAGGATATGACTTTACGTCGAGAGTAACACGACACGGTCTGTGTCGAGTCGAATGGAGATGTGTGTTTTATGCGGTGGCCGGCATATCGAGACCCTGGACTGATAAAGTGGAGGTGAAGTGTAGGTAATGTTGACAAGTGAAAGCTGAAAGAGTGATTAGAACGCTATAGGTATGTACCTATTTAATCTTAACTTGTTTTAATTACAAGTAAACTCATACGTAGTCGAGTGCGCGCGTCGGCAACATCAAAATGTATTCAAGGAAACGAGAGAGTGAGAGGTAATGAGAGAGAGAGAGAGAGAGAAAGAGCGAGTGCGCCGGGACGGCACGTGTAAGCTTACAGGGTTGTAGCATAGTAATTGAAAACAAATTGTTCAAATATTTGTATGAAAATATCAATTTACATGAAATTGTTTTTTGACCTATCAATTGTGTTCTTTGTGCTAGGTTGTATGGCCATGTTTCGGGATTATACAGGTATTACCAAACACGCTGTATATATTAATAATAATCGGCATAACTCATTTTCAACATAGATGTGTAACGATGCGTGTGGTTGTCTTGGGTTATGTGTCCATACGTTTGCGTTTCTGTGTATTCATATAAATATTTGCTACGCTACCGAATGATTGATATTATCTAAAAACTGTTTAAGTGACGAATGAATCTGTCTTCACGTGCGAGTATATTTTTTTATTATTTAAAAAAAATATATGTTGCCCTTTTATTTTAGTCGAGTGTTAAGGCTGTTTATAGTTTGTTTAGAGGAAATTTGTTGAATTTACAGGATTGCTTTCAAGACAAATAAAACATTTTTTGTGTAAACAAAGTTATAATAACTGCCTGTTAAATGTTGTAATGACTGATGACAATTTTTGTTTACAGGTACAAACTACCAGCGGGTAATAGAAATCAATTGCCAGTTGGTCCAAGAATGTGTCCAGATGTTTAGACGGGGATACAAGGCTAGGTGCGTCCGCGCTTTACGAGTCCGCTCCTGGAAGCGTGTGCCGATGAAGTTGCTCAAGTGGGGAAGGAAAATGCCATCTACCAAACAGTATAATCTGGTACCTAATGATGACTTCGACACGAGGATCCCGCTACATCCCGACGAGGCGTTCCATTACGGCATCACGTTCCAAGCAAAGGTTAGTGCAATTTTATTAAATAACTAGCATCCGGCCGCGTCTCGAAAATTTATCTACATATTACATTGTAGAGAAAATTTTCCGCTAGTTGAAAATTATACGATGTTATATTATTCTTCTGGCGATTTTGAATGTGAATAGGGAATTGATAAATTTTCTATGATTATAGCAGAGTCATGTAAGTCTACCTAAAAATAATCCTAATATTAAAAGGTTAAACAATATAGTTTTTTCGAATTTTTGAATACGAGTCTGACTGAAAAAAAGAAGCTGAAAGCTTCTATTAAATTTCACTAAGTTACACGTATGGAATATTTACTAAATTATAATTGGGACCATCTAATAATATCCAAGAAGGAAATAAAAATGTTCCCTCTTAAAAGTGGATTGCAGAATTGTTTTTCTAAGAAAACCCGGATTTGACATTTGAAAACATATCTGTTAGGAAGTCGTACAGATCGCGATTCACAAGAGATCAACGTCGTTCACGTGGACAAATTGCCTCATCTGTCACAGACCGTTTCGGGATGCCGCGATCGATGTCGACCGCAGAGACTAACCCGAAATTCCTCCGATATAATTATGGGCCATTCTGCGGTAAAGCGCAAAATATTTGCTCGCCCGTTAAATTTGTACCATTCCGCACAACTAGTGTTAGTGGTTTGCACTTTAAAAGTTTCATTCAGCATGCATATTAGGATAATCTAAGCCGAGCCTCGCCCCTTGGGGGAACGTAACGACCGTTTAAAGAGATTCGGGTACAATGACTCTGCGTTTTCTGGGATTTCACTAACATTTTAAGAATACGCCATCATTGTCGTTGCTATTTGCCAGGATTTTCTTGTTTATTTCATCAGTTAATTGGTGAACTAAGTCCACAACCACTACAAATGACTATTTCAATGTTAATTAATATGTATCTGGTACAAAACTATCAATATAGCATTAGGAATGTAGTATTGATCAAAAATAATTTCATGATTCATTTGTTGGCAATAATATTTTTGTATGAATTATTCTATTTGGTTTTGATTCTCAAATTTGCAAAAGCCACCCAGGTTACTGTTTATTGTTCAAATTGACTGAAATTAATTAACTATGTGTTATATTTTTTCTCTATTAGATCATATTTACGTCTGCTCATTAAATTTATCGTTTGCCTTAAAAATATACACGAAATATCAAAAATTCTTATCTGTGTAGTTTCAAATCATATAATATTAAAGCTAACTACGGATAATAGACACCTAAAGAAAGTACTATAATACTCACATTTAAATTGTTTACCTACAAGTTATGCATAATGTATCACTCAGGATTATCATGTTATACCAGAATCTAGATGGAATTCATTTAAAACGTATTAACCTACTCTCGTTGAAACACTCATCTTACCTGTAAAACATTAATTTAATGAGTCGAGATTACGGCTAGTATAAACACGGCTTCAGATGCCGGTATAGACACAATTCTCTGAATAGAGCCTTTGTGATACAGCTTCAACTTGAATGAAGAGGCTCGAGATTCCCGCGGACCTCTTTACCCGGAACCAATTTTGATTTTATTTAGGTTCTGAGGATAATACGCTGCTGTCGTTACAACATAGCTGGCTATAATAACGCCCTCGATAACCCTTTTGATATTCGTAGATTTAATTCCGAAGGATGAAAAAAAAATAGTGAGACGAGATACCGTCGAGATAACCTTTTGTGTTTGTCGGAGAAAGAAGACTTAGTGACTGGGAACAACTCGGCAAAGCCAAAGTAATCCAGGCTTAGAAGCCTCTCAGGTCGGCCGATAGGTAGCGTTGCGGTTCACCTATACTTATACGAACGTGTCTTATAAAGCGTGCTCATTCATTCTTATCCAAAGGTTTTCCGCTCAGATGATTGATATCCGATATTGAATTTGAATAAAGAACATACCGACATTATTGGTAATGGCAACATTTAAATGATAGAATATCAACTTTATTATTATAAAAATGATAGAATGGTTCCTATGTTTTTTTCTAACCCTTTTTTATTAGCTTTTGAATTAAGTGTTCATGCCAGCCCAATTATAGCCAATTAACGAATATGTTTCTATATATATGTATATATAATATGTATCTATATAATATATATCTATAGAATATATATGTATATGGAATATAAATCTATGGAAATATAATTTTATATACCATGTTGAATAAAAAGCTAGCTTCATCCGACAACGGATATGTTAAGATACTTTGAGAAATACCTATTTCGATTCTATTGTTAATTATTTAAGTAAATCAGTACGGTATTATAAATAAATACTATTTCTGGTCATCCTCTGATAGAGGCATAAAATTCAATTCATAGAAAGATACAATGGACGATGCATTCATAAACGAACCTTCAAGCAAGTAAATTTTCTAAATGTATTGAGTCTGTGATTTAATATTCGAACTCACAATAAAAATTATCAGTTTCAAGAAATATTCGTCGGCTCGTTCCTTAATCGTTGTACCCACTCGTTCGTCACAAATAACAAAAAATGTGAACGGGCAACAGAATTTATTATTGCTATTATCGAATCGTTAAGTTTAAAGTTAACGTTCCGCTAGAGTGGAAATATTGATAATTGAATTTGATTATCCTCTTTTACGAATAATAACGGTGTCACTTTGTTCCTTATTTTTATAGTTTGACGTTATTAATACGAAAAAGGTGGCACAAATTATACAGATAGCAATAATATTAAAAATATACTTTATTATTTCTTAAATTACGTCATAACTATGCATGTGGATACTAATTGAAAAACAAAAAAGCCGAAGGAGAAAAAGGTTTCATTTTGTAATTTATATAGAATATATTATATATAACGGCGGGTAGTCTCAGGGGCTATTACGAAGCCCAAATAGATAGTCCATATCGGAGGACTTTCTTTAAGATTTGTTCCATTTTATCACTTTTCACACGAAAATATAACGAGATGAGCGTGATGTCGTCAGATGTCTTTACTCCTCGGCGATCGGAAACAGAATGTGTGCCAAAATGGCGGCAACTTGCTTTTTATTAACGAACTGTCAAAGTCAGTGTCACCATTCTAATAAAATTAAGGGTATCGATGATCACGCTCTCTTTACAATCGAGTAATTAAGTAATCGAGTAACTAGCAATTAAAATAAAAGAAACTAAATCAAACGATCTTCGCAATGATGATGCGACATATATTATTCTATTAATACGTAATATATTATACAATTTTTAAGGGCAGCTCCACTGTTATTACTCTACGACGGGCAACCGTGATAGAATTATGACGTCATATTTTCATGATCACCTGTGGGTGATTAAACTGTACAAAGTCTTAGTCCAACCTTTATATATTTTGTTAAACATTTCCTTTGCAGTAATGCACTATTTTGAATCGGAGTTCACACTCCGGCTGCACTTGGCCCATAGCTGTGTTTACAACCCCTTTTTTTAGTTCTAATGTCTTTGCATTATATATCTGGAACTTATACTACTAGTTCAATAGAGTATTGATGAAATAGCGGTATCGAATTTTATTATCAAGGTAACAAGTCATAAAATTAATTTGATGGAGTTTATTTCGCTTCAAATCTGAATACTAAATTAATTATTATATAATTATTAACTCATGCATATCGTTACATATTATGAAACAAAGTTCTCTTGTGGTCTCGGTCTGTAGGAACGCGATAAACTCAAAGCAGCAGAACGAATTTTCATGCGGTTTTCACCAACGGCTGGGGTAATTCATGTGGAAAGCATAACAGGCCCTTTTCACGTGGAGATATTCAAAAAGATGTTTACAAACTCAAATTATGAACGAGTTGCTTAAGCGTCATTATCCGTACGTTCTCTTAAAGTTAGCACACGATACGACTAGCCACCAACAGTTGATCATACGTGATAGTTCGTCGAGACACGGGTCTGTTTCTGAGTTACCTCGTAAGTGCTTTTGAAAGAAGAAAAACAGGTACATTTACAATCATCTAATCAGTGTTGACTGTTAAAAGCAGTTCTGAATGTCTTATTAGTAGGATCATAATTATAATTATACTTCATTCATCCATCGATTCACATGACGTGTCAAACAAAGGAAAATTGGCAAGAGTTAATAGTCGTAGCAGACTCATCTATCCTTGTTGTGCTCGTTCACGAGCATGACGTAGGCTGGAGTGGATGTATCATGCAACTTGAGTACAGTCGGGTGCGAAACTGATAGCCACTAATTAGTTTTTAATTATAAGTACTGGTTAGTTCCATCTCTTTTAAGAATAATAATAAATATTCTTTATTGCACAATAAAAAAGACACAATATACAAAAATCTTACGCAAACATAATAACAACATCGTACAATAGGCGGCCTTATCGCTTGATAGCGATTTCTCTCAGGCAACTTACAAAGTATAGAAATTTAACTAATAACAAATATAAGCAGATAGTGCAAATTTAAAATAAAGTTATTACGCGGACAAATAGAACAAAAGTTATAAGTACATACAAGTGACAAAACAAATAGATATATAAAGCGTGAAAGCATACCTTCCCTTCGGACTTGTGTAGTGTGCAGACGTGTATAATTAACCGCATACACAGTATTTTTATTTAATTTAAATAAATAATAGTAAAATAAATCAGCCGATAAAATAGGAGCGCAGAGTGTACAAGGAGTCTCACTGACGTCACGTCGCAAAGCGCTCAACAAACTGTGAGTGTGTTTTTATTTACATCATAATAAACACAAATAAAAACAAAGAAACGTCGCACGGTAGTCCAAGTCGAATAAAAATAGACAAAGTCATATTTTTGCGTAAGGAAACAAAGGACGGCTATCTATTTGAGAGCTCATCGCTGCAGGGGTCAAGTTATATTTGACGGAAAACACAAACTTACGAATCCTACTGATCGGCGTCCAGTTTACCAGACCTCTGACGTCTCAGAACCGATTGCGTGTACGCAATCTCACTTACTTAGTGGCTTTGGTATCCTGGTACATTCATTTCGTATTACAGCATGCAACGAACTCCTCCAACGACTAGTGGATCAATCACTAGTGATGCTACAATTTCACATTGTCATTCGGACCCAAACCTAGTTCATACTGAACGCGATTCAATTCCTAACATCTCATGCCGTCCAAAACGAAAAAGAGAGGACACCGACTATAATCTGGAGATGATGAAATCTGAGTTTTTAACGTTATTTAAAAATTTTGCATCGGAACAGAATCAACAACTTTTTACATTACAAAAAAAAAATGGAAGAAATTATAGAACAAAATAACAAGCTGCAGGATTCTGTCGACTTCAGTGCTGCAAAATATGATGAGGTGTGTGCACAAATGAAACTTTTTCAAGATGAAAGAAAGAGTGACCTGAAGAAAATCCATATGCTTGAAGAAAAAGTCGAGCAACTGGAACGTCAAATGCGCTGTACTAGCCTGGAGATTCGCAATGTCCCACAAAAACAAAAAGAGACTAAAGAAGATTTGTTATGCATTGTTACGAAATTGTGTGACGTTTTAAAATTACCATCACAGATTGGCGATGTAA